CACGGCCTTTGCGCCCTCCTCGCCTCATTGCCCGCAGGGGCGTGACTGCTCAAGCTTCCAGTTGCCCCTTCAACTGGAAAAAGTCGCGAGGCACAGCGAAGGGAGGGAAATTGGCGGCCTTCCCGAAGGGACAGAAACGGGCATTTGGGCAGGAGGGTTTTCGGAATGGAAATCTCAAGACTCGGAAGCACCTCACGGGAGACGAGGCCGTTCGGGAGCAGGCTAGGATGAGCTGGGCTGGTGGTGGGATGCGTACACTGGATGCAGTTTACAGTCGCAAACAAGAAGGCCTCTACGTCTCCACGGCTACGTCTACATACCAAGAAGCTGATAAGAATGGAGACGGATACAGTGGATGGGGTCGGCTTGCAGGCCCAACACCAAGCGGGAGGCGGCCGCCAACAAGCTGGAAGTCAAAAAGCGAAACGCGGAGCGCAGCTGAGCCCCCCGCTCAGGGAGTTGTTCCACAGATACAACGTCAGCCGCTCCAGCTCCGTTTGTTGGCCGAGGCCCGTGGCCAGGGCCCGGGCCTCGTCAGCGCCTCACAGCGGAAGGGAGGAGAGGGTTTCTTCTTCTCCGCTCCGGCGCGCTCCGGAAAGGGCCACCGGGGCCGGGGCCGAACTCGCGGTACTGCTCGCAGAGCCCGAGGCCGAGCCCTCGAAGTTTCAGCTCTGGCAGGGCCCGGCAGAGCGGCGCGAAGAGTTTCTCGAACTGCTCGCGTTCCTTCCGGAACATCTCTCTGCCTCGGTGCGCGGTCGTGTGGGCCTGGCCTGGGCCTGGGGGCCTCCCGGGAGCTGAGCCCGCCGCGGCCGTCGAGAAAGAGCTCGAGCTTCTGCGCTTCCTCGAGCTCTTTGAGTTGTTCGTCCTCTGCATGCGGCCGGCGGCGCCGGGGGCTGCGGGCGCTGTCCGAAGAGCTCCGTTGACAGACCAGGAAAAACGAGCGATAATGCCGAGCAAAGGTGACTGTATACAAGGTCGTGTCGGGTGGGTGGTAGCGGGGTTCCGGTTTCCAGGCTTCTTTGGGAGACACTTTGCCCTTCAGAACCCTGCCGTCGACTTCATGCCGTCGGGCCCGAAGTGATGAAGAACTTGCCACGCTTCAAAGAGAGAGCACGCGAGCCTCCAACATGCACAGGAACTCCAGCGCCGGGTGGGAGACCGCGCCCTTCACCTGAAGAGAGAAGGCACCCACAGCAGACAGCCAGAGAAGATGGGAAGCTGTGAGAGAAAACGCGGGAAGAAGCCACGCCACGAGCTCTCTCGTCACCCCGCCTGGCCGGTCTGGAGGGCCCTGACCAATGCCACCGCGGCCTTACCCACATCGCCCCAATCGCAGCCCGTCAGATCGAGCCGCCGCTCCACCCCGCTTATTCGGAGAGCCTGCAGGGCGGTGCTCTAGACTCGCTGGAAAAGACGGGTTTAGGGTTTAAGAAAAGGTTTCTGGGGTGGCTGTGAGCTTGCTGCAAGTACAATAGTAGCTGCCAGCCTCAAGAAGGGCGAAAGCGCTTTCCTCCCCGATTTTGCTTCCAGCAAGGCTCAGCTGCTTGAGGGTCCGATTCTGCTTCATTGCCTGCACAGGATGACCCGGTTTGCTCGCAGCCACAGCGACTCTTCCTTTCAGCGGAAGCCTTGAATTGAAAAGCCTGTACAACTTGTCCCTGGGCCTCCGCGAGAGCGATGATGCCATCGCTGCTTAGGCAGGCATGGCTCAGGTTCAGCTCGATCAAAGCGCTGTTTGTCCGCAGAGCCTACATGCAGAGTTGCAGGCATCGCGCTTCGGCTTCGGTCTGCAAATCTCTGAATCCGATCCCCGCTCATCTCAGAGCTCGAAGGCCNNAGCCTTGACATTAGCGACGCCGATGCAGTAGTAGGCAAGACTCAGTGCCGCAAGCGTCCCGTTGGACTGCAAAGCCAAGACCTGGAGTGCATCGTTGAGCTTCCATGATGCATCTGTGCATCGGCAACTGGCGGTGGGCCTCGATGACCTGGCGGGTGCCCTCCTCAACCAGCTCGTTGTGCCGCAGATGGAGCTGCCGAAGCTTGATCTTCTCCAGGGCCTGCCGAGAAGTGGTTGGGCTGCGGCATGCTGCGACTGGCTTCTGCATGCAGCACGACGGAATTCGGAAAATGCACAAAGGAAACACAACGGCCTTCAGCAGCAGCGGGAGCTTCGGGCCGAGCTCACAGTGGACGATCTCCAGGACCCTGAAAGTGACGACGGTCTAGCCGGGAGGCCGCTTTAGCATTGACTGCGATAGCCGTCAAGAGTGTCAGGCCTATAGCCCACTCCTTTGCGTGCCTAGGCACTCCAGCACCGGGTAGCGCTC